CATTTGTTTTTCAGGACTGTAAAAAAGTAAATTAGCTGCCATGAATTTGAAAATACTAGTTATAAACATATTGTTATTTATGTTGAACCAAGTGTTTGCCTATCAAACGCGTAAGTGTGATACAATATCTCATTCATATGTGCATATTTATATTGATTTTTTATTGGCTTTTGGAAAATTTTGGTGCATTCTGAATTATTTACCATTTGCAGGTCATTTAAACGACTTATGTCCGCCCGCTGATAGTCTTTTGAAAAGTTTCAACACAATCATGCGAAATATGAAAGAGGTGCATTTAGGTGAAATGGGCGATTCGGCCGCATTGGTACATTTGTCATGGAATTCATCGACATTCAAACGAATCGATGATTGTAAATTTCGTGTGGTTGCTATGATTGATGGTGAAAAGCAACGGAATCGTGGCGTTTTTGTATCGATACGTCGATTAAACTTACGAAAAAATTCCAATTCCGAAGATTGTATCGATTATATTCGATTCAAATTTGGCGATACAAAATCACCCAAGTACTGTGGCCAATTGAATGCATCGGTTGATGATGTGCGCAAAATTTATTTTGGAGAAGGTGGCGGTATCATCGAGGTGACTTTGAAATTGGATAGATTTGTACCGCTCAAAAATATCGATAATACGCTTGATGTTGAACTAGTTTTTACAGCGAATGAAGGTAAACGATGCTTAAATCCACTTGCGAATTGTTTCATTTGGTTTCATAGAACATTCTGTAGTCAATTATTCTGTCAAAACATTGGGTGGAGCACACAAGGCACCCGATGAACAATTTTATTGGAAAAATATAGAAACCCAGAAGTTGCGGAACTTTTTAACTGATTGAGAGCTATTATTGGCACCGTAGAAGAGCGGGCATTAGTTCCCGCACTTATTTCATATAATCTTTCCATTGCCGCACAAGAAAGATCAGGACTTACAAGAAAAGTGGTCGCACCTTTGCGGTGCCTGTAACAGCTCTAGACCTATATTAAAAACATCCATAGCACTGTGTGGTTCACTTAAAAAAACGTCTACTTAAACAAATGAAACAAAAATAAAGTAGTTGCTTATGTGTGAAATATTAAGTGCGATACTGATGAAAGACATGGACTGTTGTGCTCTATGCAAAATTGAAATGTATTTGTTTTTAATTTAATTGTTTTTTGTCTCTTTTTTTCCCATCAGATTGCGGTCATGATAATTTGTTACGATGCTACGATGACACATGTATATCAAAGAGTCTGGAACACGATGGAATAAATAATTGTCCACCGCCATATTGTATGGATGAAGGTGGACGATGTCCAAATCCACCGG